ATCACCAAAGAAGAGAGTGTGAAAGAGAAGCAGCTTACACCAAGATCAGGAAGCAAAGAAGAGAGTTTCTACTTGCCAGATACAAATATATACCACAAAGCTATGCCTCTAATTCCCACCTTTTCCAAGCACACCCTACCACTTCAGTTACCACTCAGTTAATCCCTATCAGGGGATTAATTCACTGGTTGGGTCGAGACTCTTACAACCCAATCATTTCTCCTCTGAATCTTCTTGCATTGTCTCATACGTGAGCTTTTGAGGGACATCTCACATCCAAACCATAACAAGTACATAATCTAATATTCTCTCTTCATTGCAACATCAAACAGTGCTCTTCAATTCAGTCAATTACTACCACTCCCCATCCCTGAAATAATTTATATCCTATAGTAAGTAACAAATTATGACCAAAGTGGTAGAAATGAACATTTGATGCTTGTCTGGAGTTTCTATCTGGTGAATTTATCTTCCTCTTTTGGCCTCTGATATTCCTGCTATTCTATGATACTGTGACAGAATGCTGTTCTCCTTTTTTTCCTCAATTCATGGTCACCTAGGCAGTGACTACATCTCCCAACCTCCCTTGCAGCTACATATATGGCCACATGACCAATTTTGAGCCAATTGGATGTGATTGGAAAGATGTATAATGTCCAAGCCATCTCTAATTTTAATTTGGGCTGGTTACTGCAGCCTTTGGCTTTTCTCACCTCTCTGTAAACTGAATCAAGGAAACAAGAAAGACCAGCTTAAAATAATGCAGAAAAGGACAATACCCAAGGAAATGGAAGAACAAGATAGAAGGACCTTAGCTCTTAATTAATCCTATTAAAAAGAGCAGCTCCAACAGCCTAGACAGACTGAACTGTTACATGAGAAATAGTATCCATAGTACTTAAGCCATTATATTTTTGCCTTCTCTTTTATAGCATCTTAGCCTTTACCCTAACAAATACCAGTGACCACTGTTAGCCAATTAATGCACAAAACCACCCTTTAAATTAGACTGAAGTATTGAAATGTCATGTTTATCTTCCCCAACAAATACTTTATTTATATAGACCCATTAGGCAAATATTGGACAGGTAATTATACCTTAATCACAAAAGGAGACTGTAAAAACAATTAAAACATAAGGAAATGCAGAAGGTCACAATACATGCAGGTAAAATCCTATATTTTTGAAACCAGTTTGATTCATCCAATTCATAACTTTGTCTCAGTGGTCAGTCTTTTTATCACATTGGCATACACTCCTTTCAAGCATCTCAATAAATTATATAATTTTTAATGTTAAAAAGAATATTTACTTTCTTGTACAAAATATAAATGGATTTAAGGTGTTTAAGATAGAATTTTCAGTCACTGAAAGTGATAACTCATTGGGTAGACTTTTGCATCTGCTAATAAAACAAAAAGTACTAACACAAATGTTCACAATATATTAATAACATATATATGCATATACATATACACACACACAAATGATTCTCAGTTTTTGCATTTTTTTAATTATAACAATTAGACTTGTGTATTATACAATGAGACCCTTAAACTCATTTCATGTTCTTAATTGAAACTTTCCTATGATATCTGGAAAACCAGTACTTCATTCTGTCTGTACTGGCAGCTCCTAACACTTGTTGGACTTTGCCCCATCAACCCTAATATAACTCAAAAATGCAATTGGTGTTGCCTGTAAATATATGTCAATAGAAAAAATACAAAAAAAATTTATTAGTGAGTAGTGTTATCAGCAACTACATTATTAGTTATGTACTTATGAGATTATAGATTGACACCTAAAGGTCAGTTTTCCGATGACGGGTAAGAACCATATGTTGAATTGGACAACCTACCAGGCACGGTCCTTAAGCCACATTGCTTGTTGTTTAATTAATCAGAAGGGGGGAGATGCTGGGAGCCATTAGCCAAGTAGGTATGACAATTTCCTTGCCAGCGTACCCCATGTTGCTTAGTGGAAGGACTTGTGGAAATAGGACATTTTGCAGTGACATTGCATGTAGGTGACCTTGCTCAAGGACCAGGGCGGATCCGGGTTTAGGGTGTTCCGGGTTTAGGATAATCGGGTTTAGGGCGTTCCCGGTTTAGATTCCAGGTTTAAGGTTTAAGGTTATTCCTGCTGGGAATAGGGCGTATCCTGCTGCCTGAGTTCCCCTTGAGTTCTCACGGATTCAGACAGTATTTTTTGGGAGACAGAAGCCCAGTGGAGGTGGATTTGGGCAGAGAACGTGGATTTCCCCGGAATGTGATTGTAGATGGCTGGTGTGAGTTCGGGAATAAAGAGTTGCTGTTTGAATCTACAAGCTGTGTGGTGGCTCGTGATTGTGTGCCCAGCCAGACTGCGGCAATAGATTATTTTTATGTTCTTTTATTCTTTGTCTATTTCTGGATATTTGAAATTATCTACAATGAGATTGTAGTTTTATAATAAGGAGAAAATTCAAAATGCAACATCAAACAGTGCTCTTCAATTCAGTCGATTACTGAATTGAAATAAAGATTTTTCATTCTGTGTCCACATCTTTTTCAGTTCCTAGTCTAATGTGTTCCACGTAGTAGATGCCTCAGAAATACATGTGAGAGAAGGAAGAAAGAAAAGAAGAATGTGGTGAAAGGGAAGAATCTACTGGCTATCTTCAGATTGCTCCTTCAGATCTACTGTCTATCCTACTTGAGCTTCAAAAGACTACTGATATGAACTGCCTGGGTAAGTTCTCTTGGCCTTGGCTTCTGGTTGGGTTTGGCCAAGGAGATGCACTATCAGAAAATCAGTGGTGATTACTCCTGGTACACCCACTGTGCTGTGGGTCACTGCCGCCTGCTATATACCTCAATCCACCAAAACCAGGACCTTTCCACACAGGTCTTCTGATTGGAAAAAGCACTACCTCCTCCCTGCTTTGAGACCTTGGGAAGGCAAAGGTGCCTCTCCTTTGTGCACTTGCTTTCTCTCTTTTTAACATTTTATTCAATCCTTTGTAGTTCATTTATTAAGTCATTTCAAATTGTCCAATTTGAATATACTACATATGTATTGCTAAGATAGGCTGGTACCAAATGTATTTCTTATAAGAGCCCAGCAGGTTCTAATCTTGAAGAAGGATTCAGGAAAAGGGTTTTAAAAATCACAACTATTGCTGGTTTCAAAAGTCTAAACAAAAAAATTACTTTAAGTGGAGGAACTTCATATTTATTTAGAAGATTTTGTAATTATATACCAGAACTAGTTATCATGCTTTTTTTGCCTTCCAAAAGACAAAAATAAAAATTCAAAATTCAAATGAATTGTCTTCTCTTTCTTCATCCTTACAATAACCATCAGACAGACTAAACACCCTATAGATACTTAATATTGATTCTTCAATACATATGAAAACAAACAAAGGTTACCTATTATGAGAATATTCTTGTGGATTTTTCCTTTTTAAAGATTAGTTCTCGTCCATTTGTCAATATGACTTTTTTTTTTTTTGGTGTCCTTGAAGGTAATATCTTTCACCCTAAAAAGACTACATAGAGTTATTTTAGTATTTAAAATTAATATTAATTTTATTAAAGTTATAATTTAAAAACTGAAGCTTTTAAATTCAATGTAGAAATCTTACTATTATATTTATAAATCTGGATGAATTTTAATATTTACTTTTAAAGTGGTCTTTTATTAATATTTGGTGTCTTTTAAAACTTATTTAAGGTTCACATAAATATTTTAAATTTAATCTTTTTTCTTTTTTTCTTTCTTTGTTTTGGTACTGGCGATTGAACCTAGGTGCGCTTTACCACTGAGCCACATCCCTAGCCCTTTTTATCTTTTATTTTGACACAGAGTCTTACTAAATTGCTGAGGCTATCCTTGAACTTGTGATCCTCCTGCCTTAGCCTCTTGAGTCACTGGGGTTACAGGCATGGCCACCACACCTGGAAATTTTCATATATTCTTTTATTTAATACTGTTAAGTAATATAACTTACTGAAATGTTCAGAATAATATGAATCTAACAAAAAATAAAAATTATATGAATCTTAAGTTCTCTTAAGCATTTCAATACTTTTTATAATTTTTAAGCTTATCTTAATTTTTCCAATTTAACTTTAACTCTAAAATTAAAAACTCGGGGCTGGAGATGTGGCTCAAGAGGTAGCACGCTTGCCTGGCATGCATGCGGCCCAGGTTCGATCCTCAGCACCACATACAAAGATGTTGTGTCCGCCAAGAACTAAAAAATAAATACAAATAATAACTAAAAAAAAATAAAATTAAATTAAAAACTCAAAGGCACATTTTTAATTGGAGACTAGTAATATATCAGATTCTCCAATAGGCAAAATATTCTTAACTGTTACAAATATTTAAAATATGAAATATTCATAACTCACTCATACAGTTAATAAGATAATCAATTTTATTGGTTGTTAGTTCATTATTTCTATCTATAAATGTCAAATAAAAAGTTTTATGAACCTAGCAAATTGAGGCCATTATCAGCAAGATGATTTAACTATCCAATTAAGAAGGGTTATCACCTCAGTGGCTGATATTGCATCAGAAACTTCTGACCAAGGCACTTCTGGAGCAGTTAACATCTAGGGCAATTTTTCTTGCCACATTGAGGCAACTGAACCCTACTTTGTGATCATAGCACAATTAGTCTCTAATCCCATTCTCCTTCTAGTGAGTCTGTTTCACAGACCCCATTGGATTCAAGTTATACATTACTTAATGCTCAAGGTTGTATTCAACTTATTTATTTACTGTTTGATACTATTCTTAACTATTTTCATATTTTTTCTCTTGCTTAGGGACACCACTCTTACAGATATTTTAATGACAACCAATTAGACTTTGCCTATCTTGATTATGTCACACTAATGACAATAGTCTTAAACTTTGACTGAATTTCTTCTTCCGGTTACTATATGATAGGAATGACCTAGATAAAGAACACATCCTGTAGGTCTCTGGAGTACACTATTTAACGCTTCCCTACCCGTTTGGGCCCTGCTCTTGGCTGATATGCTCTGGTCTGTGAAGCATGGGTCTGGGATGATTTAGGTTGAATGGGTCTAGGCTGAGAAGGCTTAGCTTGGTAGGGCTGGGGCTGAGGGGTTTTTGTCTGAGAAGATTTTGCTTGAGAAGACCCAGGTTGAGAGGATTTGGGCTGGAAATGCTTCACCTGGAATGGCTTAGGCTGATGGGATATGAACTGAGAGCTGGGTAAAAATTTGCTCTTAGATGTGGAATGAGATCCTTTTTGGAAAACTGAATCTGAAGGCCTACCCTGAGCCATTAGCTTGTTTCCTTGCTGAGAAGCAGGTCTTACTAGTTTTTGTGTGTTTCCTGTTGGCTGAAAGCACTGAGGTTGAAGATCTTTACTATGGGATGCTGTTCTAATAAACTTTCCAGTTACTTGAGTAATTTTTATTCCTGGGGCCAGGGCTCGCTTGGGCTGTGGTTTCCCTACTGGTCCTGCTACCTGTGAACCTAGAGAACGTAGGTGACCTACCAGGGAGACCACTGCCCCAAACTTTGCAAGAACTCCCATTCTTTGTGATCTCTCAGGACAGGCCCACACATGCTTAGAACTGGGTCTTGGGGGTCTTCCAAATGTTTGATTCAAGTGATAGTCCCAAGAGGTGCTTGAAAATTTTGTGAATTTTTCACCTGAATAAAATTTCTGGGCTTGGGAATATTGGATACCAAAATCTTTACCTTTTTTATGGGACCTTGAATTCCAAAAGGGCGAAGCACAGAACCATTTAGATCTCTGTTCTGACCCTAAGTGGGAGCCCATAACCCAGGGAGACTCCAAGGAAACCTGGTCAAAGTTACCTCCAATTCTGTTTGGTGAAGGCCAGGCATTTTCTAGATGAGACTTGGATACTGGAGAGTGGTGAAAATTCTGAAAATTTTGGCTGACTTCACCTGCAATGCCAGGATCTCTAGTAGGTCTCAAAGCTTGGCTTTCAGATGAATTTGTTAGTTGACTGTATCTTTGTTGTCCCTCACCTTCAGCTGTTCCAGCCCTGTTTACATTAGGGAAATTCTGAATCCCTTGAGCATTCTCAAAGTCTTGGTCTACCTGAATCCCCAACTCCCTGGCCAGGGAGGCCATATCCTTCACAGACACACATCTGAGTGAAGAGGACATCACTTCCTGGAGGGCAGTGGAAAGGCCTTCCATGTTCTTCCCTCTGTCCCCAGCTTCTTTCTCTTCCCAAAACAGTAGCTGTGATGGTTTCAGTTTCAAGGTCCTCTGGAAAATCTGAGCCTCTTCACTCACCCTGGCTTGGGGACTGAGTACAAAGTAGCATCTTTGAATGGTACCTTCTCCTAAAAACAACAGCAAGTCCCATTCCTTCTCACCCAAGCAGTCAGCGAAAAAAAAAATAGCTGAGGAAACTTCCACCAAGAGCCCAAACTGTGTCCAAAAGCTTTCTAGGTCTCCACGAAGGTTGGCCACAGCAACAGGCTTTTGGAAAATACCCGGGCTTTTATCACTGTCAGGAAAACACCATGTTATCTCAACTAGGCCATCAGATATTTGCCTAGGAAGCATCGGAACAGACAAATCGTGATAAAGAAAGATTTTGTGTGATTTCAGTCGGTCAGGGCTGAGCAGTGCATTGAGGATTCTGGACTTGGAAAAACTACAGTGCCCTAGACGTACAAAAGAGATGACAGGCATCTTCATGAGACTCAGAAACTCTTCTGAATCCCCCGTGGGCCCTCCTGAGGACTGTGTTGACCGCTTCTTCACAATGTCCTCCATGGCCCTCAGCATTAAGATGCTTTTGTTGTTTTCTGAGTCTGGCAGCAGCAGGGGAAGAGCAAACTGGCATCGATACATGTTTGACATGACTTCTCGTTGCAAAGAGCTGTCTGAACACAGCATGGAGGCACAAAGCACATCAAGGGGATGAATGGTTTGTATGTCTCGAATTTCCAACTTTTCCAGAGCAGTCATCAATTCCTCTTTGCTATCTTCATCCAGAACCCTGCGCCTGAGGATTGAGTCTCTGGCTGTCACATCCAATGCTTGAACTTTCATCAGGAAATTCCAGGCTAAGTCTGCTGGAGTCTCAGGTGTCCACCTACATCCGTGATCCAAGGAGAACTGTTTAACCAAATCTGGCAGAAGTTTTCTGCTTCTATCCATATTCAAAGAGGAAAGTACATCTTTAAACACTTTCTTTCTTTCTGTAAAGGAGAAGATACTTAGTGAATGTTATGTTCAGAATCTATGTTTCCTTCACTGACTTTTCAAATTAAATAAGTAACTGACATTTTCACTACAAGAAGATGAAATGATACAAATGAAGGGAAAGTCCCATTTCACTACTCTGCCTATTCTATGTCTCTTCTAAGAGATATGTCAATATGCCCTGTATGCTTGTTTCCCATTCTTTCTCTATGCAAATACACAAGTATGCCTGCATATATAGAAATTATAGCTTTATTTAATGAATGCTACTTTATTTTTACATAAGTAATATCATATTAAACAAATGACTCTTCAACCTCTTTCCGCTTAACGATTTTCCTTGCAAATTCTTCCAAGTCAGCATATGGAGAGATCTCCCTAATTCATTTTAGCCTTTCATGGTACTCCAAGTTTAGATGAGCCATTTCTTAATCAATCATTGCCTAAATGAAACAATGATCCTTTAGTAATTCTTCCTTTTTAATTTTTTTTGGCTAATGTTTGTATTCAACAATAAAAACCCTTGTTAATTCTTCATTAAACACATGTCTGAAGGATCTCTAGGTTGATACTGATTTCTTTCTTTCATTTATTGCTTGCTGAATTTTAGAGAATCTGAAAATTTTTATTTCTATTAAAGTTTCCTTGGAATTGAGATGCTGTTCTTAATGTCTCCTGATCTCCCATTTCTAAATATATTTTCTAGCTATTTCTTGATAACAGAGATAGTGCTTAGTAGAGAAAGAAGATTGGAGTGTACTTTACTCCTGACAGATGAGATGGTAAACTAGCATAGTTTATTAAATGTCTTTGAAAAGGAACCTAGAAAAATAATAGAAGTGAGAGAAAAAAAATGGATTTTATGAATGAACAAAAATAACTAAAAAATATCTTTGGTTAGTCTCAAGGTTGTTTAAGTAGGTATATGTATTGGGGTAAGAAAGTTGAGAGGAATTGATGATAATATAAAGGGCAGGCAGTGAGAAGATAGTTTTCAGGAAAGTTCAGGTTCTGTTCTTGCCTATCCCATACTTTGCCTTAGGTTAACAACCCTCCACATTTTTAGCACAGAAATTGACATTCACATAATCCTGGCCTGATATCTAGAGTTGGCAAAGTTACGATGGTGCTAAATGGAGTAGATAGAAGGAACAAAATATTTGTACACACAAAAAAAGAATACATCTAATTAAGCACATAAATGGATAAAAAGAAGTAAGCGACAATAATTTTAAAAGTAAGCAATAATATCAAGAACCCAGTATCATTTTCATAAATTAAAAATTCATAAAAATAGCCCAACTAAGGCAAAGAGAAACGAACAGATTTCTGTTGTTTCTCATTAGATATTGAATTTTTAATTTGAGGCCAGTCAGGTTAATGGGGAACTGAGACCAAAAAATGAAAATAAAAATCCAGACTCCTAGGATTTTAACTATCCAAAGTCTCTACAACATATTATACACAATGAACAGGTCACCATTCAAAGTTAATAGACATAGGAAGAAATAGGAAAGGTGGCCCATGCTTAATCAATGGAGATTGACCCCAAGAAGACCCAGATATTGGATTCAGCATATAAGAATTTTAAGACAGGGGCTGGAGTTGTGGCTCAATGGTAGAGTGCTTGCCTGGCATGCATGAGGCCCTGTGTTCAATCCTCATGCCACATATAAATAAATAAATAAATTAAATAATCCATTGACAACTAAAAAATATTTTTGGAAAACACAATGAAGTCTCAAAAATATTGTGCTAAAAATAAAATTATTTAAAAAAAAAAAGAATTTAGCTGGGATTGTGGCTCAGCAGTAGAATGCTCACCTAGCACAGGCGGGACCTGGGTTAGATCCTCAGCACCACATAAAAATAAAGGTATTGTGTAAAAAAAAAGAATTTGGGGGGCTGGGATTGTGGCTCATATAAAAGTAAATACACGGAATAAAGGTATTGTGTCCAACTACAACTAAAAAAATAAAAATTAAAAAAATAAAGAATTTTGAGCTGGGATTGTGGCTTAGTAGCAGAGCACTTGCCTCACATGTATGAGGCACTGGGTTTGATTCTCAGCACCATATAAAAATAAATAAATATAATAAAGGTATTGTATTCAACTACAACTAAAGGAAATTTTTAAAAAATAATTTTAAGGCAGCTATCTTAACTATTCTCAATAATATAAAATATAATAAGCCCATAAATGAATGATTAAATAGAAAAATCACAGAAAAAAAGTAGAATGTATTAGAAGAAGGAAACTAGAATTAAAAATCACACTATCTGGGTTTTTAAAAAATCACAACAGGGGCTGGAGTTGTGGCTCAGTGGTAGAGTGCTTGCCTAGCACATGTGAGGTACTGGATTCGATCCCCGGACCCACATAAAAAAAAAAAAAACTAAATAAACAAAATAAAGTATTGTGTCCATCTACAACTAAAACTATTTTTTTTTTAAAATCACTACAAGGATTAACAACCAATTAGAAATGATGGAAGAAAGTCAGTATCTAATCTGAAGAATAAAAAGAAAAAAATTTGAAGAAAATAACAGAGTCTTAGGAACTTGCAAAACAATACTAACAACTTTAATATACGTGTACTTGAAATCTCAGAAAGAAGAAAGAGGAAGTAAACAGAAAAAAATTTTGAATCAATAATGGCTCAAAAATTTCCAGATTGGTTTAAAAGGTTTTTTGTTTGTTTGTTTGTTTACAGATTCAGGAAAATCTATAAATAATGAGGAGATAAAAGCAAATATTACGGGGCTGAGGCTGAGACTCAGCAGTAGCATGCTTGCCTGGCATGTGTGAGGCACTGGGTTTAGTTCTCAGCACTGCACATTTATAAATAAATAAAAAAAAGGTCTATCAACAACTAAAAAAAAAAAATTACACCAAGAACCATCAGAATAAACTGCTAAAAAAAAAAAAAGGAAAAAACTCTTGAAAACAACTAGAAATAAAAAGGATACTACACTTTCAAGAGATTGATAAAATGACTGACAACAGCATCAGAAATAACAGAAGCTAAAAGACAGAGACATGACACCCATAAAGTGCTGATGGCAAAAAATCGCCAATCTGAAATTGTATAATCAAGAAAAGTACCCTTGTGAATAGCAAATAAAGACATTTTTTCAAAAACAAAAACCAAAAGACTTGCTGAGCACAGTGGCGCAAGCCTGTAATCCTGGCTACTCAGGAGGCTGAGACAAGAGGATCACAAGTTTGAGACCAGTCTCAGCAACTTAGCAAGGCCCTAAGCAACTTAGCAAGACACTATCTTAAAATAAAAAATAAAAAGGGCTAGGAATATAGTTCAGTGGTAGAGCCTCTCTGGGTTCAATCCCCAGTACAAAGAGACTTTACCACCAGCATAACTATATTAAAAACAATAATAATAAACAAAAATTTCAGGCTAAAGGAAAGTAACATAAATTTGATTCTTCCATTAATTGACCCAAACTACAAGCTGAAGTAGAAAAAAGTTGATACAGCCTATAAACTTGACCTTCCACAGAACATACAAAGCAATGTTTTCAGCTTTCCTGGGACTTGGATTTGACACTGTGATTTTTTTTTTCCCATGAAATGCAACATGATAAAAATGACCCTTCAGCTGGGCGTGATGGGCACATGCCTATAATCCCAGCAGTTTAGGAGGCTGAAGCAGGAGGATCTTGAGTTCACAGCCAGTCTCAGCAGCTTAGCAAGGCACTAAGCAACTCAGTGAGACTCTGTCACTAAACAAAATACAATAGAGCTGGGGATGTGGCTCAGTGGTTAAGTGTCCCTGAGTTCAATCCCTGGTACCAAAAAATAATAATAATAATAATGACCCTTCATGAAGTTGGAGATGCTTGAATTTTTTTTTCCAGTTCTGAGCTGCATACACAAATCTTACTTAAGTAAGATAAAGGGTAACGAAATATCTCCAGTCAAATAGAGTAGATGGGCAACCACTAGAATTACACTGCAGTCATGCTCATATTATCATTAGGATAATGAAATGGTAGATTGATTGCAATAGTAGCCATAATTAATGACTTTCTGATATCCATAATCTTTGTAATATTACTTTGCAAGAGTTTGCAAGAGGTGGAATCTGTTTTTTTACCACATCTGTGTTATGTATGTGACATGTTTAGCCAACAAAATGTGGCATAAATAAGGGTATTTGGGTTGAATTGCGTACCAAAAAAAAAAGAAAGAAAGAAAAGTGAAAGATACAACAAAGGCAGAGCAGCCAAGAAAGACTAAAGATTTCTAGGAAAACACTCAAAGGTAGGAACAGATTCATCTTCCTAGCCTCCTCCTCCAGAAGGAACCAAGCCTGCCAGCACCTTGATTGTCTAACAAAATATATTTTGTTATTTGTTTCTTAAGCCACTCACTCTGTGATTCTTTGTAGAATCCCCAGCAAACTACTACAAGCCGTGATGAGGAAGAAATTATTCTTTTTCTACCCAAAAGTAAATCATGAGTCCCCAAGACTTGAGTTGATTGTGAGATGGTAGATACCTTTCCATTCTTTACTCAGAATTTGGTAGCCTTTAATTTTGCAGCCAATATCTTTCCAGATGAAACATTTTTCATATTTTCAATGTTCATTAAGAAACACTTGGAAAAGTCAGGCACAGTGGTGCACACCTATAAGTCCAGAGGACTGCAAGTTCAAAGCCAGTCTCAGCAAATTAGTGAGGCCCTAAGAAACTTAGTGAGACCCTGTCTCAAAATTAAAAAAAAATAATAATAATTTAAAAAATGTGAAAAGGACTGGGGAAGTAGCTCAGTGGTAATGTGCCCCTGGGTTAAGTCCCCAGTAGCAAAATAAATAATTAAAAGGAATATTTGGATTCAAGACACTGTGCTGATGTAATTCTCCTCACCAAGATAGCATTATATGATTTAGATTAAGACAAGTAACAATATCTTGACCTTAAATCTTCACCATAATCTCCTCTACTGACTATTTCCACTTTGGTGATTTAAACTATAATCCTAATATCTTCCTGGTCATAAAGACACTAAAATAACTAAAGTGGTTTGATCTGAGGAATAGAGGGTTACACCTAAAAGCCATGATTAGCAACTCCTTATATGTATGATAGAAGGTGACTGTGGACATTTTATAAGCTGCCAATCAATATTTACTTTTGCTTATTAGCCCTCTGCATCCAGGGATTCTGCATGTGCAGATTCAACTGACTGTAGATGGAAAATATTTAGAAAAAAGTTATATATGTACTAAACTTGCATGGACTTTTTTCTTATCATTATTCCCTAAACGATTCAGTATAACAGCTATTTATGTGAAATTTACAGTATATTCATATTACAAACAATCTAGAGATGATTTAAAGCTAATTGGAGCTTAGGGGAGGAAGGGAGAGAGAGAGAAAGGATGGTTAATGGAGTGCAGCTGAATAAGAAAAATAGTTTCTAATGTTCTACAGCACAGTAGGGTAATTATGGTTGACATCAATAAACTGAATACTTCAAAATAGCTAGTAGAGAGGATTTTGATGTTTCCAACATAAAGAAATGCTATATGTGTGAGGCAATAGATACGCAATTACCCCAATTAAATCATTATACACCATTTACATGTATTGAAATCTCATGTTGTACCCCATAGATATGTACATTTACTGTGCACCAATTAAAAATAAAAGTATATTTTAAAAAGTATATATAATAAAAAGTATATATTTAAAAAGTATATATATATAATAAAAGTGAAGTATACCAGAGGATGTATAGGTTGTATGCGATTACTATCACTACCATATTACATAAGGGGTTTGAGCATTCACAGATTTTGTATCTATGAATGGTTCTGCAACTTATTGGCTTGGATACTGAAGGACAGCTATACTGTCCACCATTTCCCAGGTCCTTGATGATCCATTATGTCAACACTCAGCTTTGAAGACATGCCAGAATAAAAAGGTACACGGAATTTCTAGTGACATCTGTGCCATGTCATCTCCTTTCCCCATTAGATCTTAGCTACCTTATTAATTATTGACAGGTTGTTGCCTGATTAACTATACACATATAGTCTCCATACCTTCCAGATTTTTATCCCCCTCCTCCAATGAAGTGCTGGTTTCTGACTCCTCAGGAATGCGTTCATCAGAGAATCCGATGGATTCTGAACACTTGGAGTCTTCTTTACCATGATGCACAATGTGCTCTAGAACATCATAACCTCCCTCTTTCATAGTAGTTTCTGCATCTTCAGTGTACCCAGCAGAACCTGGATATTCCTCTTTTCCTAAGTACAAAGAATCATCTGGCTCCTCATATCTCTGTCCATCCTGTAAATATGTAATGGTTGCTGGAATTTCATATTCAACTCTTTTGACTGAATATGGCGATGTGATTTTTGAAGTGTCATAGTCCTTCTCTTCCTCCCTGAAGGACAAAGCAATTTCCTGGTCACTAGTTTTATTGTCCCTAAAGAACGCAGAGGTTTTCAGATCCAAGTGTTCTTTCTCTTTGGAAAACACTCTGGTCTCAGGATTCTTGTTTTGTTCTTCTCTAGGGGAAAAAGTATTTTCTGAATTCTTACTTCTGGATTGAGGAGATGTGATATCCTTGTGTTTTAAAAGTTCTGAAAAAAAAAAAACAAAGAGATTTGATTATTTATTTTGTTTTTTCAATTTAATAAAAAGAAATTGTAAAATAAATTGAGTTAAAAAAAAAAAAAGCTTGATAAATTAAACGAACCAGACTCAGATATCTAAGGTCAAAGGTTTTCTCTGATAGTAAGGCTCAATGACATTCGCCTATAATCCCAGTGGCTTGGGAGGTTGAGGCAGGAGGATCGTGAGTTCAATGTCAGCCTCAGCAACTTATTGAGGCTCTAAATAACCTAGTGAGATCCTCAGCAACTTAGTGAGATTCTGTCCCAAAATTTAAAATTTTTTAAAGGGCTGGGGCCAGGCATTGTGGCACACGCCTGTAATTCCAGCAGCTTAGGAGGCTGAGTCAGGAAGATCACAAGTTCAAAGCCACCCTCAGCAATTCAGCAAGGCAATAAGCGATTCACTGAGACCCTGTCTCTAAATTAAATACAAAAGGGGGCTGGGAATGTGGTTCAGTAGTTAAGGATCCCTGGGTTCAATCTCTGGTACAAAAAAATTTTCTCTAATATGAGGAAAGTTAGTATAAAATAAGGAGAAAAAAGACAAAGAAAAAAGATGTTGAGATTCATGGAAGTAGAAGAGATCAGTGGAGTAGAGGAAAGGGATTGAGAGAGAGGGCAAAGGAATGGAAAAAGGGCAGAAGGGTGGAATGAATCTGACCTAACTTTCCTATGTGCATACATGAATATATCACAGTGAATCTCACTTTTATTTTATCCACTTGGCACTAATATATTTGTAAAAACCTAGACCTATATAGAAAAAAGAAAAAATATAAGTTGGTAAAACAAAGGGAAGACCGGGAGAGAGAAGGGAAGAGAACGGGGAAGTACTTAAGAGTGAATTAGAGCTAATTGTATCCCATGCTTGTATAATTATTTCAAAATGAACCCTAATATTATATATAACTAAAACAAACTAATAAAAAATAAAATAAATAGATAAACTTCAGAAAAAAAATAGACTGAGTTCTCAAAGCATAATCTCTCTCTCTCTCAATTTCTTTCTTGATTTTCTTTTTCTTTCTTTCTTTCTTTCTTTTTTTTTTCTTTTTTCTTTTTTTGAAATAAGGGGGAGTCTTATTATGTTGCCCAGGCCTTGAACTCCTGAGTTCAAGTGATCCTCCAGTCTCACCTTCCCCAGTATCTGGAGCTACAGACATGCAATTACTCTTGGGAAGGACCTAATGCCTCCTACCTAATTTGTATGGCACAAGTCAATCATCAGAACTTCTTTTTCCCATGGGGAAAAAAAATATCACATTACTTCCTTGCTCAAAAGTTTGAATCTTTCATAGCTACATCACAGGGTAAATGTGTAAAACAGAAAATTTAAATCATCTTCAAAAAACTAAGAATGAAACCACCATTTGACCCAACTATCCCACTCCTTGATATTTATCCTAAAGATTAGAAAAAATCAGTATACTAAAGAAACAAAGCCACTTCAATCTTTATACCAACACAATTCACAACAGCCAAATTATGGATTAACCCAGATGCTTCTCAATAGATGAGAAGCATGTATTAAGAAAATGTGTTATATTGCAGAATGGAATTTTAGTCATAAATAAGAATGAAATAATGGCATTTTCCAGTAAATAGATAGAAATGGAGAAAATCATACCAAGTGAAATAAGCAGGACTCAGAAAGTCAAGGGTTGAATATTTTCTCTCATATGTGGAAGTAGAGCAAAATAAGGGAAAGAAGGCAGTTGGGAGAGGATCTGAAGTCATAAAGATACAGGGAAGAGCAGTGGAGTAGTAGAAGGAGAAGGAGAGGGAAGGAGGAAGGACGGAAAATAGGAAGAAAAATGAATTTTTTAAAAATCATGCTATATTCATATATAAAGGCACCAAAGGGAATTTACCTTATGTTTATGGACAGTATCAATTGAAAAAAAGTAAATAGCTGGATTATAGTGGCGCACAACTGTAATCCCAGTGGCTTGAGAGGCTGAGATAGGAGGATCATGAGTTCAAAGCCAGCCTCAGCAACTTAGCAAGACACTTAGAAACTCAGTGAGACCCTGTCTCTAAATAAAATACGGAAAAGAGCTGGGGATCTGTCTCAGTGGTTGAATGTCCCTGAGTTCAATCCTCGGTACCAAAATAAATAAATGAATAAATAAATAACTGAAAAGAAGATTAGTGAAGTATAGGAGGGAAAACAGGGGAGAGTAGAGGGGAAGAAAATGAGGGAAAGGGGTGGAATCAAATGGCTTGCATGTATGATTTTGCCAAAATAAACCCCAATGCTATGTATAATTATATTTTTCTAATGGAAAAGAAAAGAAAAATTGAATCATGAGCAATATTCACTTGTGGAACTAATGTGACTCACAACTCATATTTCCTCAAGTTATTACAAAATAAATCTAATCTCTATAATTCTTAATCTGTAAGCAAACAGATGTAATTTCAAATAGTGTGTCCTGGAAACAATAAGATCTATCTTTCTAAGCATATGCGTCTTGTCTTACCTGAGGGTTATTAATATTCACTTTTTTTTTTAGTCCCTACCTCTCTATATGCTTCATTTTTGTTTGTCTTTCTCCCAGAGGTAATCTTCTCTGAAATATGAGATAGGGAAAAAGTATGCAGAATTTAAAAAGCAGAGAATAATGTATCTGATTGATTTAGAGGTTGGATATTTTGTTGTTCTTTGAATTTTGTTCAAATTCAAACTTTGCTGTTCAAAAATTCCAGTTGTTTTATAAAGTGCTCATTGTTAATAGTAATAATCCTGAATATTTTTGATTCCTTAAAAAAGGACCTACACCTGCCTCTACTGGTAATTTCCAGAATCGCTAAATAATACCTTCTAGAGTAAATGTTCCCTCATCTGAGACTAGTTATTTTTGAACCACTTAAGACTTAGCATTTGAGTTTATTTTAAAATAGCTAGGAGAGAAGATTTGAAACGATGTGTGTTTGCAGTAATGAATATTCCAATAATCCTGATTTGATCATTATACATTGAATATATAAATTAAAATATCACATTGAATCATATAAATACATACAGCTAGTATATGTCAGTTAAAATGATATATTTATTAGATAAATAATTATTTTTAAAAGAACTAGCATTTAAGTTGCTCCAGAAAACTAGGGTTCTGCTTCATTCTTATCACAGAGTAAATTAATTATGGCTCTGCCATCTAGGTATGCTAAAAATTATGCTTCCTATATTTTCAGAATGGCTATCCTAAGTGAAAGATGTTGTTTGAGGTCTTAGAACTGTTAACATCTATGAATTCATTTATTTGAGAAAGAAACCCCAGATTGTGCTATGATTAACAGTATTCTCTTTCCAACCGAGGAACTTCAGGATGTAATGCCAGAACAATGAGTACTTTATAAAACAACTGAAATTTTTGAACAACAAAGTTTGAACCTGAACAAAATTCAAAGAACAACAAATTACCCATCCTCTAAATCAATCAGATACATTGTTCTCTGCTTTTTAAATTCTGCACACTTTTTCCCTATCTCATATTTCAGAGAAGATTACCTCTGGGAGAAAGACAAACAAAAATAAAGGGTGCTAGTTTTTGTTTTTTCAGAAAATCTGCCCCATTACATTTACCCCTTACTCCCAACCCCCATCAAAGTATAAAAATTCAACTCACCAAGCTGTAAGTCCCAAGTAGTAGCTGACTCTGGAAAAGTACTAAGTAAACACTTGAGAAAATACTGACAGCACATCTCTCCCTTTTTCTGTACCAAAATTAACAGCTTTCGACTTTTCTTCAAGGGATCTGTAACTTTATCTAAAGTCTCATACTCTTCTTCAGAAATCAGCTGTCGAGAGGTTAACGTATCCAGGATAGAATCTGGATCTTCTTGGAGAATATTAAGCAATTTTTTTCGTTGTCTTTCTATGATCTCTGAGGGAACGCTCTCAGCAGCCATAGTTTCTGGTTCCTAGAGCAGGAAATGGACAATGATGTCATTTTGAGGATAAACAGATAAGAGGAAAAGACAGAGCAATTCTATTATAAAATATGCAAAGGACACCTAGTGTTGCAGGAAGCATATATAAACAAGCACTAAGGAGGAGTGCAACCCTGAGAATTCTCTGAACTTGGCTCCCTGTGGATTATTTGTTCCCTCCCCCACCCCCCATTTTATGGTACTGGGAATAGAAACTAGGGACTCCTAAACTGGGCTTGGTGGCCCCTATCTGTAATCCCAACTACTATGGAGGCTGAGACAGGACGATCTAAAAGTTTGAGGCCAGTCTAGGCATTATAGTGAGACCCTGTTTCAAAATTAAAACTTTAGGAAAAATTAAGAACGATTGGTGATATAATGCAGTGGTAGAGCATCCTGAATTCAATTCCCAGTACTGCAAAGCAAACAAACCAGAAACTTCTAGCGCTCTACCACTAAGTCGCATTCCCAGCCCTATCTGTTGTTTTAGTGGCTTGAAAGTCTCATGAAGACTCAGTCTGGAGTTTAGCTATTCCAAGAAACCTCTCCTGAACTTCAGGATGAACTAGGTGTTCCCTACTCTAAACCCTATACTGTGATGATAAGAATGCCAATTAATTAATTAGTTTTTGGAGAGCAATCTGGCAATAGCAGCACTAGGTAAATGATGAAAATAAAAATGTATATCCTTTAGTCTAGCAATTCCACTTTAGGAAATTCTCTTAAGAAAATGATCAGACCAATGCTTAAGGATTATGTACAAGAATTTGCATTACAACATTGTTTATCGTAACACAAAATTGAAAATAACCTAAATTTCTTATTGGAGATGTGGGGAATGAATGTTTTTTTGATATGTCAGAAGTAAAACATCCTAGAAACTATTTAAAAGGATGAAGATTTATATATATTGAAAGTAATGATATCCATAATATATTTGTTGTGAGCTAGCTATGTCATTAACATGGATCACACATTTATGTCTTTTCACATTGCCAGAATTTATTGAATAACACAAATTGACAAACAATATCACTTTCATTGGATGCAATTCACTGAGTACTTGTGTGTCACCTAGTAGTCATAAGCTGGGCAATAACAGCTTTATTCTTTTATTCCAATCTGAATTACTACTATCTGTAATACTCAAGTCCCATGTCACATTTTACATCATGATATTTAAAGGTTACAGAAAGATCGAGAAAGGGTAAAGGTGGGTAGAGGAGGATGTGACATATAAACATTTTGACATATCAATATTCATTCCCCATATCTCCAATAAGAAATTTAGGTTATTTTCAATTTTGTGTTATGATAAACAATATTGTAATGCAGATTCTTGCACATACATCCTTAAGCATAAGGGTCACTGCAGGTAGTTGGAGAAGATTACAAACCAGTCAAAGAACTTGTTCAGGGCATCCAAGGCACAGAGCTGTCAGAGCAAGGAACTTATTCTAGGCTAGAGTCTAGAGGGAAAGCACTTTTGAAGTTGACCACATCAAGCAGGGAGATCAAGCTAAACCCAGGGACAGAGAGTTGGAAATTTGTCTCCTGTCCACCTCATGATGCTTTTACCACATGGTCTGTTGATGGGTTGGTGCTCCTCCTTTTGTGGGTCCCAAGTGAAGGGGTTTCTCCATTAGGTGGTCTGGTGTGTTTGATAAACTCATGTGCCTGGTTTTTCTGATGTGGGCTCAATATATCTATGAATCAGTATGCTACCGATTTAATTCAGTAAGTTCTCAGGTGTTCATTATTTATTAGGAAGATTATTTATTTATCAGGTTGTGCTAGGAAGCTGGTGATTATTTACTTAAACAAACAAAATGTAGAATCATTCTACCTCAGCACTTATACTTAAAATGAAATAACACATAGCAAACTCCAGCTTTATAAAAGTGGAGTTAACTCGGGCTGGGGTTGTGGCTTAGAGGTAGAGTGCTGGCCTAGCATGTGTGAGGCACTGGGTTCGATCTTCAGCACCACATAAAAATAAAATAAAGATATTATGTCCACCTATAACTAAAATATTTTTTTAATGGAGTTAACTCAGAGTAAGACACAGCCTGAAAACTATTGTTCTATTCATCATAGAGTAACTCAGAGCAGGACTCAAGTCTACTCTCCACAGTATTGTTATTGAAAACAGCACATTGTAGATCCCATTTTGGGGTTTTGTTATATTTGTTGTTTTCTTTGCAGTGGTGGGGATTGAACCCAGAGACTTAATGCATACTAGGCAAGTATTCTACCACTAAGCTATATCTCCAGTCCCCCTTTTTGTTTTAAAAATACCCATGCATATATAGGTCATATTGATAAATGTCTATGAAAAGTGACAAGAAACTACTCTCAAGCAACTGGAGACAATGAAGCTCAAATAACCCTATGAGGAGAGTATACCCTAAGGGACATCAATTACCCAAAAACTAAGCAAGGCTATCACCTCAAGTGGAAGCAGACATCTCATAATGGAAACCAAATCACAGATCACCCCCTCAAGTGATGACCTCTTTCCCAGAACTTCAAAGAACAGTCCTGAGACAATGATCAGCCAAACCATGGCCTGACCACAGGCATGCAAGCCCCCAATCCTTGCTGTTGAACAATATCTTCCCATTCCTTCCCCTTCCCTGTTTCCAGACTCTGGGCACTACTATTCTATTCTTATTAAGAGTTTTAAAACATGTGTCTCAAAAGTATGGTTTCAAGAGATTCATTCCACTTCATGACCCCAAACTAGATTCATAATGTCATCAAGTTCACCAATTCTTCTTGTTCAATTTGATCAGTAACAGGCCTCCCAAACTCCATCTCTTCTTAACTGCTCCACTCTCCTCCTCTTTCCAGGAGAGATTGTCAGCTCCAGGAGATTTCAAATCTGCTGGGAATTTAATTACTTTCAAACAGGATATTTACATAGCATGGGCTTGGAATGCAAATGAAATGAGCTGGGGGAAGGGTGAGTGTGACTCTGATGTTCTCTATTATATAAAATATAGTCCAGAGCTTCAGAGTTGAAAGTATAGCCTTCAAATAAAAATAAATGGCACAAGGGGATGGCGAGATAGCTCAGTTGTTAGAGTGTCTGCCTGGCATGCATAAGGCCCTGGATTTAATTACTCGCAACACACACACACACACACACACACACACACACACACATGAAGTTAAAAAATGATATAGACATGAAATTTTTAAATTTATAGCAGTAATTCTGCTTATTATACAAAATCAATAGGTCTAAAATGCAACAAGTTCTAATGATTAAAAGACTTGAGTATATGGGAACCATGGATACAAGATTTAAGATTTACATATTCTCTTATCACTGTGCAAAGGCACATTTTAGAGGATAAATGCCTAAACTAACACCTTACACAACCCATTTCAGAAATTGAGCTAAGCCAGGCTTGGTGGTATGCATCTGCAATCCCAGCTACTTGGAAGGCCACGATAAAGGTAATAGTTGAGACTGGGAGTTCAAGACCAGCCTTAGCAATATAAAAGACCCTGTCTTTAAAAATAATAATAATAGAAAGAAAAGGATAACTTATTCCTAATCTTAACCTGATAATTGAATAAGAACCTGGAAGTTCTAAAGGAACTTCATAGGTCTCTCAGCAGCTAGGACAAAACTGATGTGGCTTCAAGAACACCAAAACCACCACCTCTCATTAGAAAAAAAAGGAAATATATTTCATTTTCTCCAGTGTTTTCAGTTCTTGGAATGTCTGAGGTACAGAGACTCACATAGTGCCTGTCATACTACTTGGCTCTTTAGCAGCTGACACCTGTCCTACCTTTTCTACACTGATGTTTTTTCTGAGCTTTCCTAATCCCTACAACCTGTAAACATTAGGTTACAGGACCAATGACAATTAGGGTTGAAGATACAATTAAGGTTGCTCATTAGCTGACCTTACGATGAAGAAATTATGTGGGTGGGATCAACATAATTACAAGGGGCTTTAAAAGTAGAAGAGGAAGGAAGAGGGTAATGCATCTTGAAAAAGATTATTATTGGCCTTGAAGATGGAAGGGAGCAATAATAAACCAAGGAGTTTGGGCAGCCTGGGGAATCTGATAAAGGCAAAACAACAGATTCGCTCCTACTGCCTCCAGAAAGGCAGACAGTCCTGCCAACATTCTAATTTTGCCATTTGTTGTTTTTGTTTCAGTGCTAGAGATTGAGCCAGGACCCTCGCACTTACTAGGCAGGCTACACTCCCAGCCCTACATGTTAATTTTAGCCCAGTGAAACCCGATGCTTTCAACCAGTAAAACTTTATAAATGTGTGTTTTTAAAAATTGTGATAACATGATATATACTCTCAACAGATTTTAAGTGTCTAATACAGTATTAACTTTAGATACAATATTTTAATTCAGACCTCTAGAATTTATTCATTCCCCATAACTGAAACTTTATACCTGTTGAGTAACTCTGGGTTGCTTTAAGCCATTACGTTTGTGTTAACTTGTGGCAACAGCAAATACAAAACAAAACCTAATACAGCACCTAATTTAGAAATTCAGCATCTAATTCTCTGGATTTTGTTTGCTTTCTTTTTCACCTGGCTGCACCACTTCCTTTCTCCCCCACTTTCACTCTACCACTTCCCGTTTTATCCCGTGCTGGAGAAGACTCTGGTATTTATTAGGCACTAATCAATTGTTTACCTGTGAAAATGGAACCTCTGATTCCTAATGTCTTATTCTGCTAGCAGTCCATGTGCTAAAATTTTGCACGTGACAGGCCAGGAATTCTTGAGGTTGCTTTAGAAAGTAAACTTATTATTTGGAACCTGTTATCCCCACTAACTTTTTCCCCTTATTTCTTATTGGTGCATCACAGCTGTACACAATGGTGGGATTTGTTGTTACATATTCATACATGCATACAATATAATTTTGCCCATAACATTCCTGAGTATTTCCCCTTTCCCTTCTCTCCTCCATCCCCCTTCTATTAA